GGATTTTACATGTGTTAATTCATTTATTTTACATTTTTATGGATAAGGAAATTGAGGCTCAGAGAGTCTAAGTAATGTGCCTAAGGTAATAGGGCTGTAAGTAGTGGAACTGGGATTTGATCCAAGTTTCTCCATTTCTAAACCCTTCGATAGGAGTTATTGTGCTCTACTCCTCTCTCCATTGTGGGGTTATGGTCTGTATACTCACAACTACCTAGAACGATGGAGGTTTGGTTAGCAAAGTTCTGAAAAGAGTGTCTAGGACAGTTCCTTCAATGGATCTATCGGGGCCTAGCATTAATTTGCCCACTACTCACCCATGCTGTATAATCTGCCAGTCCAGGACACAGACCCTGGTGGTGTGGGGTAATACAAAGAGCAGGGAAGACTTCCAGTTAAACATGGAGGCTTGATCTCCTGCATTTATTTTCTCTCCCTCTATCATAGATTTTTTTTTTGTAAAGATGACTGCAACAATTTTTCTTATTCTTGCATACATACCCCTTTACAGTGCAACTTTGCCACTCTTCCCATCAAGAAAAAAGGTCTTGAATCTGGGTTGACTTGCTTTGACTGATAGAATTCAGTGGAGGTGATACTGCATGACTTCTGAGGCTCGGCCTTAGGAGATCTTGCAGCTTCTGCCTTGAATCTTTTGGAACGTCGCCCTGAGATTCATGTCTTAAGGAAGCTAGTCTGGTTTATTGGAAGATGAGGGGCCAGTGGAGGAGAACCGAGGCATCCCTGTCAACAGGCAGCAGCAGCCACCAGGCTTATGAACGGTCCAGCTTGTATTTTCCAGCCCAACCAACTGCTAACTGAATGCAGCTGCATGAGCGAGCCCAGGTGAAACCATCAGAGGAACCACCCAATTAACCCACAGCGTAAAGAAAAGTAGTAAACTATTGTTGTTATAAGCCACTAAGTTTTGGGGTGATTTGTTATAATGATCATGGATAACTGATACAGCCCTCCTAAATTCTATGTCATTCACCTCTTTCCCCAAATAGCCACTAATAGTGGAATTCCAAAGGCTTTAAGCCAAAAGACTGAAGAGAAGAGAGAAGACCATTGCAGGGGAAAGACTTCCAGACGCTTTTCAGATGGGCATGTGGGTAGAGGAGCAGTCTCTGAGTGGAGCTGGGAAAGTCAGAGTCCACATGTGTACAAGAGAGGAAAATGATGAGAAGTGGACCAAGGAGCCCCACAGAGTCTACGAGGGTTGGGTGCTAAGAGGTACCAGGTACCACAGAAAACAGGAGTGAGGCCCAGGGCTCAGAAATGCAAGCACCACCCCCTCCTGGTCTCTTTTTCCATGCAAGAGACCAAAAGCCATTATCTGGAGAAGATGACTTGGAGATGCTCTGGACTCCAGGACTAGTCACAGCAGAGGGTGACAGTGAGGTAGGAGCTTGAAAACTGGGAGAGTAATCAAAAACTAAGTAAATTATGGCCCCTTAGACTCTCTGCCTGCTCCCAGGACACCAGCAGCTAAGTGTCACTTCCCTTCCAGGCAGACGATGGAAGATTCTTCTCTGGATAGATTGAATGCTTCATCACCCCCATCCTCTGTTCCTAGGAAAGGATCTCCACAAAATGTTACTTGAGGTTTCCCAGTAAAACAGCCTTCTAGCCATCTGGTCACCCTACTGTGAAGCCTACTAGACTATAGGCTTGCCTTGCTCTTTAATATGGAGGGTCATCAGACATTTGAAATGAAAGAGAGGTCAAAACAAACAGAAAAGAAGGAAACAACATACAGCAAGCCGAAAAACCTTAAAATAACTTTTTAGAAGAACCTATAAAGTAGTAACCTCAGGAAAATATGACATAAAAGTAGAACTCTGTGAGAAAGGAACAGAAAAGAAAGAGTTCTTGAAAAATTTAAATATGATAACTAAAGTAAAAAAAAAATCTCAACAGAAGGTGCCCAGCACAGTAAGCAAAAAACCAGTTCACCCCAGAAGCACATCAGTATCAAATTTTAGAACACAAAGGATAAAGAGAACATCATGAAAGCCCCAGAAAGAAAAAAAACCCTAACAGACAAAGAAATGGGAATTAGAAGGGCATCAAACTTCTCTCCCGATACACTGGATAGAGCGTAATGGGAAAATGCCCTCAAAATTCTGAAGGAAAATTATTTCAACCAGGATTTTATATTCAGCCAAATGATCAATCAAATGTGACGGGAAAGTAAAGACACTTTTAGACATGCAGGACTCAAAACCTGGGCTCATCATGAAAGAGGAAGCCCATGGCATCCAGGAACAGGGGCTCCAGCAAAGGAAAGGGCAGAGGGAAGTCTCAGGACCAAGAGCAAGGAGCCAGCCCAGCCTGAGCAGTGGAACCAGCACAGGGAAGGGAAGTTTCTGGACCAAGGGACACAGGGCAAGGACTGGCAGATTATACAGCATGGGTGAGCAGTGGGCAAATTATTGCTAGGCCCCGATAGATCCATTGAAGGAATTGGGGGAAATTGTTATACGTAGAAGAAACTAAGAAGTGGGAAAAGGGTGGGGGATTATTTTTGAAAAAATGCATGAGAAAAGGTATTTAGGTGGATATTTTGAAATCTAGAGTAAAAAGCAGAAAAAAAGAAGCTACTGAGTTGGAAGTGGTTGCTTCTGGGGAGCAGGGCACAGGAGTAGAGAGGGTTGAACTGTGGGCCACTGGCTTTCACCATGCCTTTTAGCCCTATTTGATGTTTAACTATGGGAATAGGTCACTTTAATCAAAGAAACATACATTTTTATGCAGAAATAAAGAGCATGGGCTCTAGAGTCCAGTTACGTGGGTTCAGATCTCTCTTACTCTCTTACTGATGGCAGGGCCTGGATTGAGCCAGTGGCTCCTTATCTACCTTGTTTACAAGGTAGATAAGTTTCCTTATCTACCTTGTAAAACTGAGGTGAGGGTTAAACATAATTTCTGTAAAGGGCCTGGCACAGAATGTATGATCAATAAATCATAGCCATTATGATTTTTAAGACTTCTGAGAAATTCCATGGTAGAATGAAAGCAAACTCCACTGCCCCATGTTTGGGAGGAGCTGAGAAAACCTGGATAAATGTCACCTTTGCATTTGCTAGTATGTTTTCCAGCTGTTGTAAAGCTGCAGACATTCTGCGGGCTCCCACCCCATCCCCTCGCTCTCTTGGTCATTAGTGTCGTCACAGTCACCTTCCAGAGTGGCTTAGGAGAAGCTGGGCATGCAGCAGAGAGTGGCTTTTCACATAAAGGCCCGATTCATTCCCAGGGGCTGCTTGCAGGTTTTCCTTCTGAAGCAGTCGTCCCACACAGCAAGTTGCCTCCATGGGAGGGATCCAAAAGCAGCTCCAGGTAGGGACATTGGTGCAGGGCAGGCAGAAGGCAGCTCCAGGCTCAGCTGGGGGCGGGGAGCACGTGGGCATCAGGCAGAAAAGTCCAGTGCCTGACCTGCCAGGGTCCTGGGCTCAGAGCCACCACAGTGATCTGGTGCCCCACCCAACTAAGGGGGCCTCCAAGGAGGGCCTGGGGCTGCGTTTGCTCACCCCCTGGCCTAAATATATACACATACTTATTTAAACAAACATATTGAATGGGGAGAAGTCTGGAGAGAGAGAGGTACCCTAAGATGTTAACCAGAATTCTCTCTAAATGGTGGCATTTGCAGTGATTTTCATTTCTTCTTACTCATCTGTATGTTTCAATTCTGGTAAAATGATCATACATTCCCTTTGTAGTTTTAATTAATAATAATGACAATAAAGAACAAGGTGATGAATCCCTGAAAAGGGAGTGGGTAGATGAGGAAGGAAAGTTATGTGGCCCCTAAAACGCACAAATGACCTTCAGCCTGAGAGACTTGGTAACAACAGGGAAAACGCCAGCCCCCTGCCAGCCAGTGTTCCAAGAAATCAGAGACCCCCGCTTTGGGAGGGGTGCAAATGGGTGGTGGCGGGGCAGAATGACAGAAAACAGCTAAAGCCTCAATAACCCCTAATGCACGCAAGGTGCTGCTCTACGCTCGAACTCACTTAATCCTCACAGTGACCTCTTGAGGTAGGGTCACTTGTCATCCAACCTTAGTTTTTCCTTTTCTCCTTCACAGGTCCAGCCAAATAAGAGTGACTTGCTGTCTCCCATACGTGACCCTTAGTTTCCACTTCCTTGGAATTTTGTCTCCATGCCTTTGTTCAAGCTCTTTCCTCTTCCTAAACGCTTCCTCTTCTGTTTTCACATGCATAATGTCTCTCTGAGAGGGAGAGCAAGGCAGGATACTAACTCTTTCCTCAAGTAACCTCTGTCCCCTCTGAATTCTTAGAATTCTCACTTGGTAACACCATTCTGCCGGCTTCATAATTAGTGCTGCAAGTTATGTTATAGTACATCAACCCAGGTGCTCGGAAGAGGCATACAGAGTGGGGCAAGACGTGGTCCCGGCCCTGAGGGGCTTTCTGCCAGCCTAGGGAGAAGATACCAACACAGCCAAGTACCCACAATAGAGAAAGGCCTTTAGACTAAGTGCTAGGGAGAGGAAGAGGGTCTGGGTTCTGCAGGGAGGCCTCCCAGAGGAGGTCAAGTGAACCAAAGGGGCCTTGAAAGGTGCCTGGGATTCCAGCAGGTGGAGAGGGAGAGGAAGGGGCCCCAGCGAGGGAGGCAGGAGGGGTGATGCTGTGCTGTAGTTTAGGGAGCGTGAACTGGTAAGGGCAGGGTTCCTGCTGGCTCATCTTTGCCTCCCCGGAACAGTTCCTGGCCACAGGACACATCTCTCCTGGCCCATGGTGAGTGTCACAGGGCCAGCCACAGTAAGCATCAGAGACACCAGGCTGATGCACTGCCCTGGGAAGAGCCTCCCCCCCATCTCACCAGGTAGTGCCCATAGTGTGTAGGCAGAGAATATCTATAAATGAGTGGTGGGCAGCCCATGAAAGGACTCCTGGGCCTGCTCCCAACTGTCCGGGCCCTCTGTGAGCTGCAGCAAGGCACTTCTCCTCTCTGGTCCTTTGTTTCCCCAGCTGTCAGGTGAGATGACCTTGAAGGTACAGGCAATCCTGTGGCAAGGGGATGAAGCCCATCGGCCATGGAGCCAGGACGCCTGGGCACAAATCTCCAGCTTCCTGAGTGACATCAGTAAGTAAATCTCTCTAAGCCTCAGTTTCCTGCGTTGTAAAAGGGAACAGTAATACTGCAAAACCTAATCAGAACATCATGCGTAGGATCCCAAGAATTCCACTGCACAAAACTTGGAGTCTCATTACAGTGAGGATTAAGAAAAGATGGGGCACTTGGAGCTAATCGCATTGTGTCTGTTCAATTATTATGAGGTGTTATAGTAGGATTCTTGTGGATTAAATGTGTATATATATATATGTATATACAATATATTAAAAACACACAGTACGTGTGCGATGGAAGTGACTAGCAGTAGTAGAACAAGAGCGCCCCAGCTGGCTAAGTGCGGGCTCTCTGAGAGAGGAATAGTGGGCTGGCTGGGAGCACGTCAGGGTCGCACTCTGGCAGGGCTGCTGAGCCTGCACTCCCTGAGGCCAGGAATCCTGACAGCCTGGCTGCTTCCAGGGCTGGTTTCGCTCTTCCCAAGGTTAGATCCTAGAAATCCTGGGGAAAACTCTGACTGGGACATTACCTCTGGGCAGGCAAGAAATGTTTTTCAAGTTCCCATGAGATAACTGGAGGACAGAGATGTCAATTGGAAACCACTCTCCCCTTTTTTGTTAAAAATACTCAGAATCGTGTGCCTTGTTAGTATCCCAAGCACTTATTCCCCTGTTAGCATCTATCACAAGAGAGAAGTTAAGCTCTTTTTCCACAGAAGGAAAGCAGTGTCAGAATAAAGCCAGCTCCTACCTCTCCAGCCCTGGCCCTGGCCGTCCCCCCTCCCTGGGCGGGGACTGCAGAAGGCTTGCTGTGGGGGGGCAGGGCTGCCAGCCTCCCCACTCCCTACCCCTCACTGTGACGAGCTACCTCAGGCTATCGCAGATGCCCCCATGCCAGGGGCAGCTCAAGTAGGAGCCTGGATCCCACGTGCATCCTGGACAAGAGCTAGGAAAGGGTTTTCTGCTGCGATCTGGGCACAGCTCCATTCTGCATCTTATAAGCACAGGTATCAGAGTGGGAGAGGACCCTGGAGAGCCTCCCCTTTTACTAAATGAGCTAAAGCCTAGAGAGAGGTTGTCCATACTTCCCTGGCTCTCTGTCCCCTTTGCTGGTCCCTTCTCACCTCCCAATCTCTAAATGTTGGTGTGCCCTGGAGCTCAGAGCTTGGATCCCCCCACACCATCTCACAGACCTCACCCAGGCCTGCAGCTTTATGTACCATATGTATGTGCCTGCTGACAACTCTCAAATGTACATCTCCATTCCAGACTCTATTCTGACCTCAAGATTCATACATTCAACTGCCCACTCAGCTTCTCCACTGGGATGTCTAATAGGCACCTCGCTCCTCATGGGTCCAAAACTGACTTCCTGATCTTTTCTCCTCCCATAGTCTTCTCCATTTGAGTTCATGACAGCTCCATCATTGCTCAAGCCAAAAACCTTGGAGTCACTCTTGGCTTCTGTTTCTCTCATACTCACGCCCAATCCATCAGCAAACCCTTCCACATACATGTAGATCCTGATCACTTCTCCCCATCTCTCCCTCACCCTGCTCCAAGCCACCATCAGTCCTGCCTTGTTTGCAGTAGTCTCCTTAGTGGTCTCCCTGCCTCCACCCTTGTGTCCTGTAGTCTGTTGTGAACCATCCCAGGAGGCAGACTATCCTGTGAAGATAGAGGTCAGCTGAGGTTTCCCCTCAGCGCAATGCCCTCCAGGGGTGCCCCATCTCATCCAGAGCAGTGGTCCATCTTATCTTTCCATCTACACTCGTAGGGTTCGCTGCCCGCTCACTCCACTCCAGCCCTAGTGGCCTCAAACCCACCAGGTGTTCTCCCACCTGAGGCCTTGGTGTGTGCAGCTCCTCTGCTTGGGACTCTTCCCCCAGGTTTCCGTGTGCTCACTGCCTCCCGTCCTGGGCACAGCCTCGTTCCTGTCTGTATGCAAATGCCACCTTTTCGGTGAGGTCTTCCCCAGCCTGATTAGTTACAATTGCACCCCCTCCAATTTCTGTCCCCACTTTTTACTTTCTTTTTCTCCATGACGCTTATCACCGTCAAACATACTATAAACTTTATTTATTTTGTTTATTATTTATCTCCTCTAATGGGAACGTAAGTCCCCTAAGGTTAGAGATTTTTATCAGACACACAGTAAGTGCTCAACAACTGTTTGTTAACTGAGCAAATGAACAGGAATCAATGGTTCTGGTGCGTCTGCATCAGCTTTTCCCATGAGGACCATTGCACTTAGCCGATGAATGGAAGAGCAAGAAAACACCTAGATCATCAAGTTCAATACCTTCTTCACTTGAGGAACACTGAGATTTAGCAAGGAGGAGGATATCCCAAAACATCACAGCACATTGACTTTAGAGCTGGGGCTGGGAATGGATCCTCTTGTCTCCCAAACAGAGCCTGTCCTCTGGTCCCCCTGCCACCCACGGAGGTCACTCCCTTCTGACAGCAATTTCCAGTCTCCTGAGCTATAAAATTAGAACAAGGAACCTACAGAAAACAAGGAAATGAAGTATGGGGCAGGGGTATTTTTAGGCTCGCTGGTTTCTAAGTGCATACATATATAGAAAGGTCTATACACATGGCTATATATAGGTATTAAATCAGGAAGTAAGTTGAGTGGTGGGTTAGCTTTTCTGGGGGTGGCCGAGTGAGGCTGCTGCAACACGGACAGTTTTGAGCCAGAGCAGCTGATTCCAAGGGAACTGGCCCTGCTGAGTCATCTGGAAGCCGCATACCTCACCTTGAGTGTTCAGAAAGAGTCTGAGGAGTGAGAGCCTTCTTTTTCTTCCCTTCAGTCAGCCAGAAGTACCAGCGAAACTCCAAGGCCCACCCAGCATCTTATGGTGAAAATCTCCCCAGTGCTGGCTTGCCGTCTTTGGGGGCAAATGGGGATTCTGAAGGGGGAGTTTGAGCAGTAACCTGGAGCCTCTGTGTCCCCAGTTGACCAGAGACACCTCCTGGGCTCTGGTCCCTTTGTCCACCAGGAACTTTCCGAGACTTCAGACCAGGCCTAAAAGATGAGACCTGGATTAGCATAACGCACTTCCTAATGGTCAAACGTTCTGTTTATCATGTATGGATCTCATTTTATATAACAACTTACTAGGAAGGTACTTTTAAAATTGTCTCCATTTTATCGTTGGAGAAACTGAGGCACAGTGTGGGTAAGTGATGTACCCAGGTCTCTCAGCATAAGTGGCAGACCCAAGTGGTCTAGCTCTACAGCCCATGCCCTTAGCCATCAGGCTGTGCTGCACTGGCAAGAGGGCAGGAAACCTGGGTATGTGTAGAGCATTTGTGGGGCTCTGAGATTCATGGCTGCATCCAGGTTTTGATGCTGCCGATCTTTGACTGGACTTTGAGCTAAGCAATGAACATGTAGCAAGCACATTGGTTGCTTGTGGAAAGTGAATGGGGGCAGGCCTGTTCCTCCCACCTGGGGCAATCCAAGGGAAGTATCCTGATTCATGCTGTAGAAATAGGAGCTAGTGTCCTTTTGCAAGGCAGGAAAAGGACCAAGCACTAAAGCTGGGGCAGATCCCTGCCCTCATATAGCTTATGTTGTAGTTGTGGGACACGGACAATGACCACAAACAAATAAATGAGATAGTTAAGATGGTTATAAAAGCCCTAGGGGCTTCCTTGGTGGCGCAGTGGTTAAGAATCCACCTGCCAAGGCAGGGGACACAGGTTCGAGCCCTGGTCTGGAAAGATCCCACACGCTGCGGAGCACCTAAGCCCGTGCACCACAACAACTGAGCCTGCGCTCTAGAACCTGCGAGCCACAACTACTGAGCCCACGTACTGCAACTACTGAAGCCCGCACGCCTGCAGCCCGTGCTCCGCAACAAGAGAAGCCACCACGATGAGAAGCCCGCACGCCGCAATTAAGAGTAGCCCCAGCTCGATGCAACTAGAGAAAGCCCGTGCACAGCAACGAAGGTCCAGCGCAGACAAAAATAAATAAATAAATAAAATTGTAATAATAATTAAAAAAAAAAAAGCCCTAAACAAAATAAAACAAGGTAATGGAATGGTTATGGGTTCAGCTGTGTTCCCCCAGAAGTTATGTGTTGAAGTCCTAAGCCCCAGAATATGACTTTATTTCGAGATAGGGTCTTTACTGAGGTAATTGATTTAAACTGAGATCATTAGGGTGGGCTCTAATCCAGCATGACTGGTATCCTTATAAAAAGGGAAAATGTAGAGACAGGTGCCCAGGGAGAGCACCATGTGAAGTTGAAGAGAGATCAGAGTGATGCATCCACAAGCCAAGAACACCAAAGATGGCCACATGCCACTAGAAACTAGGAAAGAGGCATGGAACGAGTTCTCTCCACAGCCCCCAGAGGGAACCAACCCTGCCGACCCCGTGATCTTGGAAACTTCTAGCCTCCAGAACTGTGAGACGATAAACCTCTGCTGTTTAAGCTACCAGTCTGTGGTGCTTTGTTATGGAAGCCCTAACAAACTAACACACAGACAAAGAGTGTCTGGGGGAGAAGAGGATTAATTTAGCTAACAGATTGGGTTAGGTCTATCCGAGGAGGTGACAACTGGGCTGAAGCCTCAGTATTGACAAGGAGATGCTCATGTGAAGATACACACCTCAGACATGGAAACTAACTTGGCATATCTGTGGGAGAGACGGAAGGCCCGTGTGGCTGGAGCAGGGTGAGTGAGGGCAGAGAGGTTCAAGGAGAGGGAAGATAGGATAGAACCTTCGTGGAACGTGCTGGGAGTTGGCATTTTACACTAATTGCAATGGGAAACCACTGGAGGGAGTGACGTGAGACCCGACTTTCCCCTTTGAAAGATCCCTCTGGCTGCTCGGTGGAAAAGAAATTTGAGGATCGGGTTAGGGAGACCAGTTAGGAGTGTGAGGTTCACGTTCAGATGAGAAATGAGTACCCTTGACTTAGGGCACTGGCAGAGGATGGGGGAGAAGTGGTCTGGTTGGTGATAAACTCTGGAGAACCCCAATAGGACTTGCTA